AGGACCAGGAAATAATAAAATAAAGCCATTTGTCGACTAATGATTGTTTAATGGTAAAACTCTATGTATATAGATGTAGATATATGTATCACATATCATTGCCTAAATTAATGATTTTATTATTATTAAAAATAGTAAATCTTAAAGTGAATCCGATCTATTTGTTAAAGGTTATTTTGTATTCATAGTGCCGCGTTCTATTGTAACTCAAAATTTCAAATTGCCGATTTCATATAAATTTGAATAGTTTAAAGAAACCAAATCCCTTATATAAAGGAATTTATTCCTTCAAAATACACATAATCTGAACAGACAATGTACGGATTTGATTAATCACGTGTGTCAACAAATATTGTTATATTTCCTACAAGGATGGATTTGATTATATTTCAAATTCATTATCTAAAATTTGAAATATTAAAAATCAGCAATGATTAAAGGTATATCGATTTTTTTAGGTCTAATTAAATATAAAATTATATTGTTTCAGTTTTTTTGGACTTTTTTTTTGTTTTCAGATTTTTCCTCAAGAATCGGATTTCCGGTATTATGTTATTATCAATCAAAACAGAATTTTGAATATATGCGATATTAATAAATATTATTATTTAATTATATAACATTATTTGATTTTAGACGAAAATTATACCTATAAATATTCAACAAACTGAAATCCGGTTAAATGACAACTTACACGCATCTATAAAAACACATTTATAAATTTCAAAATACCACCAAGCAACAATGGAGAAGTGCTTCAGTGTCATTAATGAAATTGAAAGAACAAAGAAAGGTCTGTAAAACTTCGTGTGGTTCGTATATTTGAGCGTGAGTCTCCTAATTTTGACCACAACATCTTGCAGATTGTTTTTCAAGACAAGGAGATATTATTTTGTTTATTTTTATTTATTACTATTTCAGCTACATACAACTATCATTTTCTTTAATCATTAATTTCTTATATTTGTAGGGCGCTCAAATCATCGGATTGGTACGCATGTTAATATTCTGGCGATAAGCAAAGAATTAGAGGAAGGCGGTGTCTATTATATTTGCAATTGTGAAGTTGTTAGCAACCATGGCAACTATAGATCGACCATCGCTAATTTCAAAATGATCTTGCATGGACGCACTCAAATCAAAGTAGAAGCAAGCAACTCATTCTAATGATCCTAATAGATTGGCTACAGAATCTGCAAAATGCGAGAACGGCACCGACAAAGATAAATGATTATCCTCATTTAACAATAAGATGAACGAATATTGTTGATCTTGAAGATAATTTTATTTTTTTCGATAGGTTATTACTTTTATTGGAGTATTATATTTGATGGTTTGAGAACTTAGGCTGATTGAATAAAATAAGTTATTTGCTTTTGTTAATCTTTTGTTGTTAGTTCATTCTTGCTATTCACGTTTTTTATTCATTCTTGCTTTAGTAATTAACTCAATTAATTATATCACCATACATACTGATACATTCATATACATATAAAGTAAAAAAATGATATTAATGTAAAAGTAAAATGACTATTCGACTTAAATCTACATAAAAACTATAGAAAATCGGAGAGGTGAATAAGTACGAACACTTTGTATATACACTCGAATCTTCTAATTTATTTGGAGTATTTTAAGTCGAAATATACAATTATCTTTTCTTTTTCTTTTTAATATAAAACTAAAAATAAATCAGATTATAATATAGCAAAAAAGTTAAAAGATATTATTTTTATGAACTGTATAAAAATAAAACGTGTGCAATCAAGTTTGTTATTCATTTCCCAAACAAATCGGATTTTGGGAATGATTTCTTGGCAGATTTCCACACGCCAGAATTCTTGAATAGCATCAAGTGTTCTGGTACTTCTAACCATGAGTTGCACCTGAAGATAGGAATTCCAGTAATGTTGTTTTGCAATATGGATCATTCTATGGGATTGTGCAATGAGACTCGATTGGTTATGACTAAACTCTCTACTAGGAGATAACGTTGGCGACAAGGTCTTGATTCCTAGGATGAATATCACTCCATCTGATACTAGGATTCCATTTAAGTTCCAACGGTGGCAGTTTCCACTTACGGTTTCGTATGTCACGACCATAAACAAGAGTCTGGGACAGTCTTTAACACACGTTGGTCTTTTCCTGAAGAAACCTGCTTTTAGTCAGGACCAATTATATGTTGTTTCACATGTAACTAATAAAAGGGGGTTGAAGATATTAGTTTGTGATAATGAGGATTACCAAATAATCAAACTCATAATGCTGTGTACAAGAAAGTTTTTAATAATATATGATTATTTCGTGACGAACATTTTATGATTCAATAATGTTCCTATGTATTATAATGATTTCGATCCTAATACATGTCAAATTATATTATTCTCTAAATTTATACAGCTCGTGCATCACACGGGTTATGCACTAATAATCTATATATAAACACATTAAAATGTGAAGTTGATAAACTAGCTCTCACAACGGTTCATATGTTAAGATTTGTATTGGGCTTAGTTTATTTAAGGCTTTTATAGCTGGGAGAAGGCCCAAGGTCGCTAGAAAACCCAAAGAGGGAAAGGACAAAAGACAACAGAATGAAGGTGAAGGAAAATCAAATTTAGCCCTCTGAGGTCAAGACTCAATAAATGAATCCCATACATTTACGATTTATATTTTTTATTCTTTTTTATATAAGGTTAAGATAAATAGTATACTTGCATAAAAAATATACTTAAAGGTGGACTCAATATTTTATTTTATTGTATTAAAGGAGGCAAAACACTTGGCATGTTTTAATGCATCGCTATATGCAAGAAGATATTGGAGCAATATGATATTCAAGCCATTGACATCATAAAAATCATAATATGTATATATTATAACAATTAATGTATATTTCATTAGATTAAAAAAAAAAAGAATAACACGCTAAAAAGAGTTTTTTGTTCTCTTATCTGTCCCATTATTTTGAATTAGTACGGTACCCGTGCGATGCACGGGAGCATTTATTACCTATTTATTTTTTAAAAGGTATTTTTGTATTTAAATTGTCTCATGACATTAAAAATATGATGAAAATGAAATTTATATGTTATTAACCACTTCTTTATGTACAACATTATTAGTTTGATTCTTTGGCGAGTAAATTACTACATAGGTGTTCGAATTTTATCTAAAATTGCATATTATTAATTAACAAATTTTAAAATAATTAAAGGATATTTTTTATTAAACAAAATTATAGTAGAAAAGTAGAAATTTTTAGAAATTTTCACCCATTATTTATTTTAAATCTAATTATAAATTTCAATTAAGAAAAATTGAAAAGAATCATTAGTTATTCCTGGAAATGAAACTGATTTTTCTACCAATAAACCGATTTTTTTATCAAACAAATTAATCCAAATAAAAAAATCATCAATTTTTTCTAAAAATGCAACCGAATTTTTCTAACATTGCACCGATTTTTTTACCAAACAAATTGAATTGAAAATAATTCTAATAAAAAAATAAAATAATTTGTTAATGTTTATGCAACTGTCTCTTTGTTAAAGAAAATGATATGAAGTTAACCGAATAAAAAAATGATATTAACTTACCAAAATATCGGTAAAACATGGTTAAGAAAAAAATAAGAATCCAAAAAAAACGATGCATTTAAAATTTGAAAAGATGCACACAATTTTTTCTAAATAATTGGATTAGGTGACTTTAAATATAAAAAATGAACCGCTTTTGTTACCAAAAAATCTGGACACAATTTTGAATGTACATCGTCCAAATATCAGTTTTATTTTAAAATAAAAATTGCACGTGGTTTTGTCCAATTTACAAACTTTTTTTGAAAGAAGAAATTATAAAATAAGATTTGAAGAACTGGTTAAGAATTATACAACTATTTGTTCCCTAAATTTGTATCCAATTTGCACGGTTTTTAAATTAATTTGTATTTAGAATTATTTTCATAAATAATTGACACATTTTTTGCATAAAAATCTCCAAATTTATTATTAGAAAAGATATGATTTAAATTTTGATAAAAAAAATATAAAATATTATACAAAAAAATGAGATTCAAATTTTGCAATAAGAATCTCCAAATTTGTTACAAAAAAATAGTATTCAGATTTTGTTACTAAAGATTCACATGTGTTTTTTCGAACTTTTTATTAGTAAGTCAAACATTATATTTATTTGGTCAAACTTATTTTTCTAACAACCTCTTTATATAGATATAGATATAGATATAGATATAGATATAGATATAGA